GTCTTATTCTCGCGGGGGGGCGGCGGCGACGGCGGCGACGGCACGGCCGCCCAGGCCGAGGCCCTTCGCGCCGAGGGCGTGGACGTGCAGCGTCGCGGGCTCGGCGAGCTGTGCGTCGACCTGGATGTCTATGGGTGGTTTCCGGAGGATCTGCCCTCGCAGTTGGAAGACGAGGGGGGCGAGCAGTAGCAGGCTGGCCGCAGCAGGCAATGTCATGGTATTCAAAGCACGTCTAGAAGTGGTTCGCAAAGCATCATATACCCTACCCAATCATCCATCGAGGCCACTCGCGTCTTGTCACTTGGAGTCATACTGTCATGGTCTCGGAATTGCCTGCATTCGTTTCTTTCCAAGAAACAGTGGTATCTATCTCCCTCGCGGGTGACCGCTCGACAGCAACACAGGCAAACGTCCCCTCCCACGACAGCTCGGTGACCCATCCCCGCTTCCAATCTAGAGATTCATTTCGCTCAGAAACACAAAAGGAGAACAAGACGAAGAAAAAGAAGAATGAAGCGCGCATCTCGTTTCTCGTTGCCGTCGTTGTTGCTATAATGAAGCGCACACCGCTGCTAAGTACGGGGACCAGGGCTGAACGGACAATCGTGAAATTAAGACGGCTGCCAAGTCACTTTGAAATAACATCGTCGAGAAGGGGTAAACGCAAAAGCAGTCCATCCTCCGAAGATTCATAACTCCGACCCGCACCTCGGCAGACAGGCTCATTCGCGGCTTCAAGCCAGAGCGGGAAATGTACAGATGTGTACAAGCACCACGTCGTGACGGGGGGACTGGTGCGCGGAAAGGGGAAAATTTGGCGTGAAACGACCAAACAGGAAAACTCCAAACATATGGGATATCAAAAAGACAAGGTCATCAACGGGGCATCAGAAACAACCTTCTCCCTTTTGAGGGGAGACCAAGAGTCGCGGTGCCACGTCTCGTCCCCACGGCATACCCCTCCCACTAGCATCCACAACCACGCGCCTAGAAGCAGTTGAGCGAGCCCTTCTTCTTCTTTTGCTTGTTGATCGCGTTCATGCGCTCCTCGAGGTGCGCACGCGCTGCCTCGGCCGCTTGTCGCTTCTTGCGCTCCTCCTCGACCGCGTGCAAGCTCCACCGGTTGTCGGGCTGCGGCGTGGGAGCGGGACGGTCCTTGAGCTCCTTGAGTTCGCCCTCAAGCTGCTGGCACCGCTTGCGCCAGGCATCGCAGTCCGCCTTGACCTTGTTCGACTGCTTCTCGAGGTCGGTAAGAGCTTCCTCGAGCGTCTGGGTGAGTTGCTTCTCGGCGTCGAGGTGCTTCTCGATTGTCTGGATGCGAGCCTCCTGGTCTTGTTGAATCTGGTTGAGAGATCCCATGTGGTCCTTGCTGCCTGGCCGTCCACCAGTAGGCGTGTTGGGTACTGTCGGGCTGGTCTGGGCGTTGGATCCGGGCAGAGGAGGGAGGGGGATCGCGGGAGGCGGAGATGGCAGAGATGCGACGGAAGCACTCTTGCGGAGGTTGCTGTTCGTTAGGGAGTTGGCCCTCTGGGGCTGCTGGCCGGAGGCCGTGGCAACTTCATCGTATTTGTTCTACAGCACTTGTTAGCATGATTTCTTTCTTCGTGTGCATGGTGAAGTCAGTCTCACCTGGAGAGCATGGTATTCGGCGCGGAGACGGTCCATCTCTGACTCGATCCTGGTCTTTGCGGCAGTGGCTTCCTCAAGCTGGGCTTGGCGTTCGGTCTGCAAGACTGAAAGACGGTTGTTGGTGATCTGAGCCTGGTCAAAGTTTGACTGAAGTTGGTCTTCCAGCTCCTCGACAAGACGCGAGTTCTTGTTGTTCCTCGAGTCAAGGTCGGCCATCTTCTTACGCAGGGCAGACATCTGCTCGGTAACAGAGCCCTGGATGCTCATAGTCTCACCCTTGGCAGTGAGAAGATCAGACAAGGTTGCCTTGACTTGCTCAAGATCGCGCACGGCGCTCTCGTTGATGGCTGTCAATTCGGAAACCTGTCGCTCCAGGTCTCCCGTCTTCTTTTGCTCCTCCGCAAGCGCCTTTTGATCAGCAATCAGATCATCGATGCGTTCTGTGATCTTCTCGACACTAACGTCGAGTCCGAGAGCAAACGCGACCTGGGTGGCAACCTTCATGAGATCCTCGCGGGCGTCGTCAAGCTCGCACTCCAGAACCCGGATGTTCTCAGCTTGCTCGCTCATAAGCACAGCCACCTGCTCCTCGTAGCCCTTCTGCTCGACCTGCTTCAATTCCTCGAGATCTCTGGCATGGTTGTCCTTGAGAAGCTGCATGCCATCTTGGTGGGTCTTCAACGCTTGCTCGTGCGCGGCAATCTGCTTCTCGAGGTTTTCCATGAGCTGCTTGTGGGTGTTGGACTGACTCTCGTGCAGATCACGCGTCTTGATGGCCTCTTCTAACTCGGCTTTGGTAGCTGAATGGGCTGTCTCAAGATCCGCCACCTTGATAGCATTGGTGCTAATGATCGACTTGTACTCGTCAACCTCGTCACGAAGACTCTTGAGCAAGCTTTGGTGCTTTTCGTCTGCCTCCAACGTTTCGTCGTCACTCGCTGCATCCGTTCGTGCGGTAGCCTTAGAATTGATGGTCGCGATTTGGCTCTCCAGATCTTCAATCGTCTTCTTCATCTGTGCTTCTGTCTGTTGCATCGCGTCCAAGGCAGTCTTATGCTTTGTCTCCCAGTTGCTCAGCTCTACCTGAAGGCTCTTGAGCTTGCGCTCCGTGTCGGTAGAGAGGGGTTGTTGTTCGGACGAGTCTGCCTCAGTGTCGTCTCCTACGACTTGTCGGGTTGTCTCGGCCTCCGATGCGTCAGAGACAGTCGGAGCTGATGTCGCAGGAGCGTCTTTAACAGCGGCGCGAAGTGCTTCAATTTCGGCATGCAGCTCCCTCTCGCTAGCGCTGTGCGCCTCTCTCATCTCCTTCATCTGTGACTCGTTCCTCTCCAACTGATTCTTGAGCGTGGACACAACAGACATGTCCATGGGCGAGGCCTTCAAGCTGGACCGCTCTCGCGTCAGGCCGGAGATGATGGTCATCTTAGTCTCCATCTCCCTCTTTGCCGCGGCAACACCAGCCTCCAGCTCTTGAATCCTCTCTGATCGAGCATGCAACTCATGTATGGCAGAGTTGAGGTTCAGCTCAAAGTTCTGCATGACATCCGGCTGGGATTCAAAGTTCTCTGTTGCAATATTTCGGAGCGAGGCGAATGAGCGGTGGGCGCGGTCAATGATCATGACGTTCTGGCTCGACTTGCGGCGGATGACGGGATGGCTGGCCCTCGGGGATGTAGCCTCGGCAGCCTTGGCCTGGGCGACTTCTGTCTTGAGCTCCTCGACCATGTCTAGAGCATCTTGATGCTTCTGCTCAAGTTGCGCATACTTGTCAGCCAACTCCTTCTCTGCAGCCTCCTTTTCCGCAGACAGGGTCTTCAGCCGGGCCAGTTCTGTATTCAGGAGATCCTGTTGTGTCGAGTCGGTTGCAGTCATCTTTGGTTCGATGTCGCTCTTGATGCTCGTCGTCTCGGCATGGTCCTCGACCTGGATATCGGACCTTTCAGGCACCGGCTCTGTTTCGGTCTCCGGCAGAAATTCGGACTGAGGCTTCAGAGTGGCCGTCTCAGCGTCGAGATCAGAGGTGTCGACAGTTGTCGGGGAATCCATGGCAGAGGAAAGCTCCGAGGACAAGGAGCGCGAAGATGCGTACTGCCCGTGCTCTTTGTGGTCGTTGGATCGCGCATCGGACGTGAAGGATGATGGTCTGGTCTCCGTTGGTGATACAACCGACAGAACGGAGTCGCGAACGTTGCGGTGGGGGTGTCGTGATTCGTCGACGGTATCCTGCAGCTCCCTGAGAGCGCGGACAGCCTCCTCGTAGCGAGAGTGAAGAAGACTGTATTCGTTGACGGTGCTTTCATGTTCCACGCGAAGATCAAAGAGCTCTTGTGTCACATTTTCAAGCTTATCCGCCACAAATTTGGTCTGAGCAGGGCTGGGTGGTGAGTAGTCGTCATACTCCGCTTTGAGGCCGTCGTGCTCAGCACTAGGCGTTTCATCTTCGGAGGTGTCCTTGGCATTTTCGATCGTCTTGGCGTCGACGTCGTCGTCAACCTGGCTCTCCTCCTCTTCGATCTCGGGAATGGCGTCTTGGTGGCTGACACGACTAACGTGGGACTGGCTTCGCGAGTGGTTGGTAAATTGGCGACGATGCCCGACACCGTTCGCAGTCTCTGCCTGAGGCTCTGGCACCTTGTTGTCGCTCTGGATGTGATCTAGCTCATAAAGCAGAGAATCGAGCTTTCCTAGACTTCGCTGGCGCTCGATGACCTGTTCCAGGCGGTCGATCTCACGTTGCATCAGCTCCGCATCTTGGTCCGCCTCGGCCAGGCGCTCCTCCAACGTCGAGATGTAGTCTTCGCAGGACGCTTCATTCTCGCGGACGCGCGAGATTTCCTTTCGCAGCTCAATGATAATCGTTGCGTTCTTCTCCTCGCCCGAGGTGTGGCCGTCAAGTTTGGCCTCCAGGTCGTGCAGGTAGTTTTCAGTGCTGGCCTCTCGATCCATCAACTTCTGGAGCCGGGCCTGGAGCTGGGTGTTGATCGTCTCGACGTAAGCGCACTTGGTCTCCTTTTCCAACAAGTTCGTCTCTGTGCTCGACAGAGTGCCGCGGGTACTAGACAGTGATTGCTCGAGGGATCGGATCGTCTTTTCGTACTCGAGTACAACCTGCTCGACAGCTTGGGCGAAGGAGTTGGAGCGATTCAGGCGTTCCGTGGCACTGTCCCCAAGCGCATCGTCATTCTCCTCATTGTCCGCCTGCTCAGCGTCCCTAGCCTTGGCCATTTCAGCGATAAGCTTCGCGTGTCGCTGACTCAGGGTAGTGTAGGTCTCTTGGACGTCCAGCAATTGGTTCTGGAGTTCGGTCTCCCGCTCGTTCTGCCGCTCGGACCTCCCACCTTCAGTAGCGGGTGTGCGCCGGTCGCCGCCACCCCGCTCAGCATTGCGGATTTGGTCGCGCAGGAAGGTCACCTCTGCCTTGAGCCTGTCAATGATGGCCTGCTTGTCGCCCTCCTCCACCTGTTGGATGCGCGGTTTGCTCTGGATGGCTCGGGCCCTCTGCGCGTACTGGACTGTGTTTAGCGTCTCGCTGAGGTGGAATTCGGCTGGGGTGACGCAGGCAATCATGTAAGTCACTGCGTTCCCCCCAAGAGAATCTTGAAGCAACCGGGTCAGTCTCGAATCACGGTAAGACACGTGCGATCCGGCGTTCCGCGACGAAAGCTGCGAGATGACCTTGCCGAGCGCGGCTAGTCCGCCGTTGATGGAGATGCCCTCCTTGGCACGCTCACCTTGAGCGCCGGTGTTCTTCAGCCGCTCACTGCCCGCCAGGTCAACAAAATGCAGCTTGCTGTCGGTCGTCACCCAGCTCTCATTACCAGTCATGGCCTCAACTGGCATGGAGAAACGCTTGTCAGCGCCCTGTGGGTTATGTAGGCCCCCCTTGCGCTGCACCAGGTTCAGACTGAAAACTGCGTGGGATCGCGAGGACCTAGCGTTGATAGCTGTTGCGTCCGTCTGGCGCAAGGTCGAGCCAAAGTTCAAGGCAGCCATCAGGTCTTCGACGGAGTTGATGTCCACCTGGCGCAGGCCTGTCAGGAGGATGTTTCCCTTGACGTCCTCACGAATCGTCACGTTGACTCGCTCGTGTTGCGGGACGTGATCGGGGATGAGCAAATCGCGGAGTTGCTCGTTGTAAATCTCGACGTATGTCGCCTTTAATTGCCAATTCTTGTCTGCGCTGCCAGAAGCGCCTTGCGCAGAATATCGATGTGGCGTTCGGAGTTGTGACATGGATCCTCGGTTCGCCTGTTTTCTCGGGCCCTCGAGCTTGTCGAAAAGAGCCGTGGCAGCTCGAGGGATGACGCCCATAACTTCGGGGTCGCTCTGCTCCAAAGGTCCGGACGTTCCCATAGTGTAGGACTTGCCAGCGCCAGACTGGCCGTAGGCTAACAGCGAGACGTTGTAGCCTTGGATAAAGGCATTGACACAGTCGGTCAGGTACTCCCAAACACCCTCTTGGCTCGTGTCGGAGCCGAAGACGCGGTCGAAGACGAAGAGTTTCTTGCCCTGGGGGGAATCGATGGCGACGTTTGTATCTGATGTCACTTGGACCATGGAGCGTTGGAATCGTTGGGGAATGAGCTCGAAGCCCGGGTCGGTGGGCTTCAGGGGCGGGCGAACTCGAACGGCTGCAGGATGCGTTGGTCAGAGAATGTTCCACTATTGCAGCAGCAAGAAAAGGAGGCAGAAGGCAGGACCGGGTTGGAAAGAAAAAGGAAGGCTTGACTTACCCACGCGCACAGCTGTGCGGCCATCCTCGTCAGAAGCTCTGCTTCCTCCGCCGCCACCACCTCCTGGTCCGCCGCCGGCTTTGCTGCTCATGCTCATACGGCTGTTGCTGCGTGGAGCGGGTCGCACCATGGCGCTCATGGGTCGCTGGGGAAGATTCCCAGGTGAAGCGGGCGGTGAAGTGGCCATGGCGAGAAGCTGTGGCGAGGCGAGGGGTGCTGCCTCTGCACTCTTGTATGGGTCGGCACGCGAGGCCAGGCGAGAGCAGGCGTGCGAGTACCGTGTGTCACTCGCAGGATTGGAGGTCGGGTTATGCGAGTGTCTCGGGGCGGATGGATTGGGGGGTGTTTATGTCTCGCGAGCCCCGCGGGCAGGGTGTTTTTTTTTTTTGTGCCTGTGCCGGCTGCCGGTGCCTCGAGGGAGTGGACGGCACAGCTTTGGATCTCGTACTGGGTGCTCGTGCTGTTGCTGGTGCTCGTCTTCGTCTTCATAAACGCGAAAGACTGGGCGACACAATGAAGGGCGGCATTGAGAACCCCCAGGGTGTGTTGTGTGTGAGAGAGGGTAGGGGGATGGGAGATGAGAGATCAAGTCGCGGGTCGCGGGCTCGGGCGGGTGCCAGTTGGTAGGTAGCAAAAGGGTTGCTCCTTCGGGGGGGTGGGGGGCGAAATAGGGGATTCGAAATCCAGTTCGGGATCGGACAGGCTACTGACAAGCCTGACAGAAGCACAGGACAGGACCAGCCAGATAGGTAGGTTGGTGTATGAGATGGGAGAGCGGACTGGGCGGACACAAGCCTGTGTTTATTTGGGTGGGTGGTGGTGCTCGTTGACTAGGGTCTGGCAAATTGGATGCGCGTTGCGGAGGGGTGGTGATTGGAGGATGCCCCTGCGCCCAAGGTCGGAGGCTGGTGATGGGCCTGTTCGGGGCCCTGTTTGGTGCCTGTTCTCTGGCCAGTGTTTGCTGGACTCGGGGGCCCTGGCTTCGCCCCGTTTCGTCGCTTCTCAAACGGCGTGATCACTGATTTGCTCTGTTTTGGTGTCGCACGGTCGTTGATAGTAGCGATCACGGGCGTAGGAGCCGCTGAGTGACTGGGTTCTCCCAGAGCGATGCTTCACCGGACTGGCGCAACGGGAGATTGGAGGAGGAGACGGACGAAGCTGTCAGTTGACAGGTGGTACAATATTGGCCTCGCTATCCAAAAAGAGGAGGAGGCGGTGGGTGGAAGCACAAACAGACGAGGCTGCTACAGTACCTTTTCACCGTCACCGAAACGATACTTGAGGACCAGGTGCAGCAGGCTCCTTTGGGCGGTCTGCCTGGTACCTGGTGGCCTGGGCGACGAGAAAGGGAAGGCGCAAGGAACGCCTCCTTGCGCCCCTCCATCCTGCCGTTTCTCTTGAGTCTTCGCAGTGCTGGCAGGAGCAACATTTGCAGCTGGCAGGAGCAAGAGCAACACTTGCAGCCTCCTGGCTTGACTCCCTCTCGCCGACTGGGTCTTGTGCCGCTGCATGAGGAAGGGAACGCCCTGCCACGCACTAGGCTGCCGAGCGCAATCCCAGCAATCCCAGCAATCCCAGCAAGCGCGTGCAGCAGGGTCCAGGTGCAAGTGCCAGCGTGCGCCAGTGCCATCGGATACAGCGAGCACGACTGGCCGTTCGGGGAAGCACACCCGCCATCATGGAAGCGACCCAACCTTCATGCCCGGCACCTGCTGGTACTTGGCTCTGGGTGCCAGCGTCCACCACACGCGTCGTCTCCAGAAGTCCCCTCGCCCTCTTCGCTAGGTAAGGTATTCGTCCCATCCCATCCCATCTTCTCTCCTGTCAGCAATCATTGGTACGCAGCTCGCCACGGCGTCCGTCCGATCTACCTCGCCAGCTAGCACCGACGATGCATCTGCAGAAGAACGGTCGGAGAAGAACAAAAAGGCCTGGCCAAAGTCACACTACCGAGGCCTCCCAGCAACGACGGCCAGCGATCTCCATGATCATGACTTAAGCTATGTCGCATTGCGTCCCCCCAGAAATACCACATTGTGCCGTGTCTGCTGGAAAGGGAGGGGAAAGGACCCACGACCTGTCTCCCAGAACACAAAGAGAAACAGAAAAGAGTTCTTCATTTCAGGGGCACACCACACGAGCGCCCCTGAGTGTGATGCCGGGGGCGCACCATACCGTACCACGCCACACCACACCACACGCAGACGCCAACCCACACACTCCGCTCCGCAGGCGACAGACACCCTTCAGATCGACCCAATCAGGCGTCTTCTTGTATGCAAAGGACAAGACTCCCGTCGCGAGTGCTGCCGCTGCTCGTGAGCAGACACGTATTGGGTGCCTGCATTTCGAGTCCAACGTCGGGCCGTTGAATGGTGCCTCCTGCATGTGCCGCGAATGCACCTTTGCGATGGCGCCCAGCGTGGCAGGCGCCTGATGAGGGGGCGCATCGCTGTGAAATGGCTAGATGTGGAGCGAAAATGTGCAGAGTTCGAGGAAAGGAGGGTGGGTTGACTCTTCTCTGTGGACACAAGAAGCAATATACCGTCTCACAGAGTGCTCGGTGCTACGTGTCTCGTGCAGTCTTTCCCCATGTCCCGCCGCGCAGGTACGTTGCGAGACGTTGGACCGACGAGCGAGCGTAACGAGGATCGACCTTGAAGACCCCAGTTGGGATTTCAAGCACAAAGGCCGGGGTCCCCTTTCGAGGCGACCGCGAGACAAAAACGCTGGACACTAAGAGCGTGAGCGTTTCCCGGCCGCTTTTCATCCCGACCAGAGAAGCGACGTGGGGAAGCTCGGGAAATCATGCGGCTCCTGCGGCCGTTGTCTGGACCAAAGCTTCACGCGTTTCGTCTTCCAACAGCGTACCAGCCTTTGTTGGTCGGTCATGATTCAGGTGGGTTTTCTGCCATCCCATCGTCAAAGGACTCGACGTACTCCAGTGCCGAAGCCATATGCATCGAGAAAGGATACTTTTATTCTAGCGCCGCACCATGAACACCACTCGGAGTTCTGGAGTGACCCGCGAGATTGCGAGGTTCCATAAGAAGGTGAGACCGCCGAAGATGCGGAACGTGATTGTTTTCTCAGCTTTTCTCAATAGTGTCTCCCTAGCCGGTGACAAAGGCAGAAAATGTGTCTGGAGAAAGGCGCTACCACTGACGGCCGAGGGCAGTCCTAGAACCGTGCGACGCTCATTTGCTTAGCTCCCACTTCTTCTACGAGCATCGACACCTACAACCCCGCTCTCTTTGTCATTTCATCGCATCTGTGTAGTACAGCCGAGACCAGACTCAGCTGGCTGTCTGTCATCTGCATTCCATCTGCGGCGCAACACGAGATGGCGAGGGATGCAACTACCAGACGACTGGTTTTGTCTCAGCCCTGCGTGGCACTTGCTGGTCATCCACATGAGGACTCGGCGACAAAGAATGCTTGTGCCTCGTTGCAGAACACATTCGGTGACACACAAGTCCATACATCGTCCTCATGTCTACCCAGCCCGTCTGTTCCCCCTTCCCTCCTTTCTCCGTCAATCACATTGTGACGACAGCCAGACAAGCGACTTGTACTGCTCGCTTGTCGCTGTCATGAACAGGCGAGGCGATCCAGTAAAACTCATGCATTCGGTTAGGGAAAGAAAATCGTGTTACACTGCAGACTGCTTAGCCGGAAGCTTCCGCGCAGCATGTTGGAGGTCCAGCACGCGGGGAACACTCGATGACACACTTAAAGACTGTTACTTCCGAGCAGCTAATATGCCGCGATGCTGGACAATATGTGACCCACGTCGTTCACATGTACATGTACCGGCCAGAGTCAAGGCCTGCCCATAACCATTTGAAAAGCACGCCGCTTGCTTGCATCAGCAGCAGTGGCTCAAGAAGACGACCCTGAACACGCCATCCCCCGCCCTCTGTCTGCCATCGCATGCAATAGATGAGCCCGTGCGCGACGCTAATCCATAATTCTCCTCTCGTGAACGGGATCATGTTCTCGAAGGGGACAACACCTCGCACCACCATGCAGCAGGTCCTACATGTATACTCATGGGACGGCGCTCTCCCACCGCTCGCGATGGGAAATGTTTCTACGACTCCTCGGAGCGGACTGGCGGTGAGGTCCTTCGATTGGCCGCATGTTTCGTCGAGGATGATCCACGTGAAGGATGCCCCGGCCTGCCAAGCAGTCCCGCCTGCGAGGATGGGGGTTGTGCTCGAAAGGGGGGCCGTGCCACGTACAGTATGTATCTGTCTACTGATGGCCCGAGGCGGTCGGGCCCCTTTTTCGTTTGCCATCTTACCAAGCTTGCCAAGGTACTGTGATTTCGGTTGAGGGCCAGGTCAATCTGAGCCGGCAAGGGCTTTCTTTGCATGGCAGCATCGGAAGAGTCGGGACGGTAAGCCAGCCGCTGTCAATGGCTTCGTGCTCTTCAGACGATGAAACAGCTTTTTGGCCCTGCCTGTATGCATAGCATTGCTTGGCCGTCTCATGGGATGCCGATGGTTGAACTCTGTTCATGCCTACCGTTGGTGCCAATCACAGCGAGGTGGAGAACGAGCCTCGTCCTCTTGTCACGTGACTATGCGTCTCATCCGCGCCATGTCCGATACTGATCTCGCGTCTCAAGCGCGATCTCCACAGTTTCCTACGCTCACAACCCAAGGCGTCACCATTCGCGCCGCTGGGCACCGCCAAAGGAACCCTCACCCATCGATCTCCCGAATGTCACCCCTCCATATGATACACTTGCACACTTCTCAATCATGACAGGGGAGGTGATCAGCCTCCTTTCGAGTTCCTCCCCCGAGCCGGCCCTCCCACCTGCACCAGCCGTCGCCCCCTACCCCGCCAAACCATGCTCTCCTCCGGTTAAGCAGCCGCCCGGCCTCCTCGACCTCACCAGCAGCTCGCCCGTCTCTGCTCCGAAGCGCGATAGGTCTCCGGGCTCCCAGCAGCTTCCACATCCGAAGCGCCGCAGCAGCGCCGTCCAGCTGGACCTCCACTTTCTCTCCGACGACTTCGACACGACGGGCGACCTGGGGCACAGCAGCCAGGTCAGGCAAGATGCGGGACAGAACAAGCGGCTGCGTCTGTCACCGCCCGACGCTGCAAAGAGGGGGTTCCAGAGGTCACAGTCTGCGGCCGGCGCCGCGGAGAGGTCGTCTGCTCGGCAGGGGGCCGCTCTGCGACGCACGCAGACGCTGATCGATCCCATTGAGTGCTCGAGCTCGCCGGCGCTCGACAGGAGGCCGAGGAGCTCTGGCCAGACGACATACGATGACCCCTTTGCGACCTCGTCGCCTGTGAGGAAGGCAGGTGGGATCGTGGCCATGGACGAGCCTCGTGCGGCTTCACCTCGGCGACCGGAAATGGCTGCTGTGGCTGCGAGTTTAGGGATCGAGGTCGATGATCCGTTCGCCAGCAGTCCGCCTCCTGCTGCGAAGGCGGCGCCCGCGTCTGCTCCGGCTGGTTCGGTCACGGTGGCGTCCACGGCGAAATCGACAGGTGCATCGAAGGTGACGTCCAAGACCTCCATGGCGGTCTTGAGTCTCGACGACGACCTCAGCGACCCCTTTGCCAGCTCGCAGCCTGACGCGGCCCAGCTCCGAGCAACGGCGTCTACGGCTGCGTCACTGAACAGCAGGCCGCGTTCTCCGAAAGACAAGGTAAATTGGGACCCCATCTCAAGCTCGGCGCCGCAGCTGCTGCACGACTCGTTCGACAGTTCGCCACCGCCTGTCCGTTCAAAAGGCAAGGAGAGGGAACCCGCGGTCATTGCCCTCAGCGATTCCGAGGCGTCCGTGCTGGAAAGCCACAAATGGTCAGATAGCGACAGCGATCTCCCGGACGTGAAGGACATGGACCTCTCCAAGTCCCGCGCGCCTCGTTCTCACACAACGGCACGGTCACGCACGTCATCGGCCACGCTGAAAGTATCGAAATCAAAAGCGCCAGTCGCCAAGAAATCCGCCGAAAACAAGACGCGAGACCAGGAGGCCAAGGCCGCCGAGCGCGAGCGCGAGAAGGAGCGCAAGAAGCGTGAAAAAGAAGCGGCGAAGGAGCAAAAGGCGCGCGACAAGGAGGTGGCGGCCGCCATGGCCGAAGTCAACAAGGTGAGGACCGACAAGAAGGTCTCGACGCCAGAGATGATTGTCGATCTGCCTGCGAGCCTGCCGCCATCGCAGCTGCTGCAGGCGCAGACGCTGCTCAGGGACCTGGACGTCGAGTTCGGCGAGTGGCAGAGCCCGGTCGAAAAGGTCGTCAAGTGGCGGCGCAAGGTCAAGAGCCGGTTCAACGACGACCTCGGCCTCTGGGAGCCGATGCCGCTGCGCATCCAGGACGAGTCGTACGCCATGGCCGTCATGACCGCCGACGAGTTCGTCGCGCTGGCTCCCGGGCCCGAAGGCGCGGATCTGCCGGCCCACGTGTCGCGAATGAAGCAGCACTTTCCCGGCACGCAGCTGATCTACCTCATGGAAGGTCTCGGCCCCTGGATCCGCAAGAACCGCAACGTGCGAAACCGGCAGTTCGTCTCCGCCGTGCGCAGCCAGGAGACGGAGGCGGCGCCGACGAGCAGCCAGCCGAACCGGCGGCGCAAGAAGGCGCAGGCGCCCACGGAGTACATTGACGAGGACACGGTTGAGGACGCGCTGCTCGAGCTACAGGTCCTGCACGGCGCCCTCATCCACCACACGGCCGCCGCCGTTGAGACGGCCCAGTGGATCGCTGTCTTCACGCAGCACATTTCCACCGTGCCGTATCGCAAGCAGCGCGAGGCGGCCAACGCGGCGGGCGCCGGCTTCTGCATGGAGAGCGGGCAGGTGCGGACGGGCGACGACACGCGGGACACGTACGCGCGGATGCTGCAGGAGATTGTGCGCGTCACGGCGCCCGTCGCCTACGGCGTCGCTGAGGAGTTTGGGACCGTCACGGCGCTGGTCGAGGGGTTGGAGGAGAGGGGCCCGCTCGCGCTGGAGGCGTGCCGGAAGAGCGCCAACAAGGATGGTGCCGTGTCGGATCGGACCATCGGTCAAGCTCTCAGTCGGCGGATCTACAAGGTGTTTACTGGCAAGGATGAGACGAGTATGGACGTCTAGGGAAGGGCATGCTTATGCTTCATGGTAGACCTGGCTTGGCGTTTGAGGTAGGAAATCGGCCCAGGCTGGATGACGTTTGTGCAGATGTTGGACGGAGCTCGTCACAGAGCATTCGTGATAATTGTCAACAGCAGGACAGTGTGGAAAATGAGTTACGAGGCGACGCAATACTGCGATATGAGCAGGCGGGTTGCCTATGGACACAAGTAACCCTCAGTATAGAAATGCAATCACAGTTCAAAGCATCATTCCGCAACAAGCAGAAGTTCAGGTGGTGGCATCATGAGACAACGATTTGCATTCGAGTCTACCGGAACTCTATCTATTCAACGCCGAAGCAACGTGGCATCTATCGACCGGGACATGTACGTGAGGTCTAGACTTCAAACATGTTAGCACTCGTTCGGAAACAAGCATCATGAAATAACAGGTTGAAAAGCTTTCTGTCAGATAGCGGTTGGACAAGGTTTTTCCACATTCAATGTGTCGGATCAGGTCTGTGAAAATTGGTCTCTCATCACGAAAGCAGGCGGGCAAGTATAAAGAAAGAGGCGAAAGCATACCATTGACAGAGCCGACATTGTGCTCTGGAGAGTATGCCGAAACGGTCATCCAGAGGGTGGCGCAACGGTCATCATCCGATCTGGCTATTTTTCAAGCTGATCTTCAGCCTTCCGCTTCTTCGGCGGAGGGGCCGCAGCAAAGAACGAAGTGAGTGTTTTCTGCTTCTGGTCGAACTGCGCGCTGCCGATACCGCCACGGGTCTTCTTCAGACCGGCGAGGTGGGACGTGTTGTTAAAGATCACAAAGCTCAGGCGCAGGTCGGGCCAGCGTGGGCCATGATGGCTCGGCGGAGAGGGGGGTTCGCCTGCGCCTTGTCGAGGCTGACTCGATGAGCGGAGCAAGGGTTCGACGACGAGCTGGGTGTAGCCCGTATTGCTCCAAGAGGCATGAGAGTCTGCTGGCTCGGACGAAGAAGCAAACCAGGCATTGCCGCGCAGGACGCGAAGCAGCGATGCCAGGATCAGCCCGTGGGCGACGATCATGACGCAAGCGGGCTTGTCAGCCAACGCGGCGATGATCGGTGCAAGCTGGCTGTCGACGAAGCGACTAGCACGCGCTTGCATGGCGTCGTGGGTCTCGGCATCTGTCGCACGAACATGGTCGCGCTGGCCGTACCTCTTGCCTTCATCTGCGCCAAAGTCCTTCTCGCGCAGGTCCGAGAGCTGGACGACGTTGACCGCCGGCATTCCAGCCAGCGGCGGAGGCTGCGCTTCTCGGACCGTTGCAGCGGTGTGGACGGCACGCTTTAGGTTGGAGGTGAAGATGTGCGTCGCTGGAGGTGCCGCCGTCGCCAAGTGAGAGGCAAGACGGCGGGCTTGGAGGACGCCATGAGCGGTCAATGGGGAGTCGCGACTTCCTGCACTGGAATTGGTCAGCTGAGGGTAACGGAAAAGGCATGAAAAGAAATTTCGTGACTCACTAGAGGCCGGCCACATTGTCTACCGATTCGCCGTGGCGGATGAGGAAGATGTTGAGCTTGCCCATCGAGGCATTGGTGTTGTATGTGAGAGACTGAAGCTGGAGCTTGATGGCCGCAGCATTCCCTGGTGGCGACTACATGGTTTTGCCAAGGAGCTCGATCGAGGAGCTCAGGACTGGTGTCGCGTTGACTTGCAGAACGTGGTTGGAAGGGAATTGAGCTGGGAGGCAAATTTTCCTTTTAATAGCTGGTGGGCTCCTGGCTGGGTCCACCTGTCACGCTGGTTAGTCAGCTTTCTTGAACTGGGCAATGCAGCTCGCCATTTGTAGAAGCCGCCAAAAGTGTGTGCCAGATGAACATCATGATGCTGAATTCCCCAAAAGTTGCTGCCGCAAAACCCACGGAAGGCATGGAACGGAGGCTCGCGAGAGAGCATTTTTATTCAGGGTTCTTTCTTCCAAGAACTACAAGCTGATGTCTAGAAACTTACAGCACCATTGAGGGGCTGTAAAGGGTGTGGCTGCCAGAATGCACTGTTGAGCCAGCGGATTTTCGACGCATCTTCTCATAGCCATGTGATGCGTCGCTGGCTCACCCTCGTTCACCTACGGTAGCCTCAAGGTTTGTGCCTAGCACTGAGCGTCCCAGCCTCTCCAGTGGTTGCAAGCGATGCGGCCATCGTCGTTGAACAAGATGTCCTCTGCAAGGTAGTCAGAGTCAGCATGCGAACTACCTCGAAAGTGAAATCACCAACATACCGAGATTGACATCGACGTCCCAATCCTGAGCAAAGAGATACGGGCAAATAAGCTTGTTCTCTATGTAGTCACTCTTTTGCGTCTTTTTGAGAATGCAGGCGCCACAACGCATGTTGAAGTAACCGCTGCACATCAGGACATTGGTTAGCTAACCACTAGTGATCAAGAGCTCGCATGTACAGATGTTCTTACCCTTCCTCTGCTACGAGGCTGACCGTGTTTGCTTCGCTGTCGACTTGGAGACCGATGCAGTCATTGAGGTTGATGCGCGTGCAGCGGTACGTCTTGCCATCGTTCCTGAGACATTTGGCGTGAAGGACAGTCTCGGACTTTCGTAACACCTTGAAGTTTTGCCATTCGGGGTGCCATTGGTCCCGGCCGTTCGAGGTGAGAAGCAGGTCCTTGCATTCGTACTTGATGTCGTCACCAGACGCGCCAGACGACAGAAGGCCAAGAATGAGGCCTGCGAGAACGGTGATGAAAGTGAGCTTCATCTTGATGGTGGTCGTTGCCTCGCTGTTGGGTGTCTCGTGGGGGGTACGCAACGGGTGTAATGCTGAGACTTCTTAAGATATAGAAAATTCGGCAGCATGGAAAGTAGTGGTTCTTATAGCTTTCCTTGCCATTGCTCTTTCCTTCACTTAAGGTGTGAAAGTCCAGGGAACTTCAGTGAATGGTAAACACCAGAATGGGGCTCATTCACCTTGTTTGGTGTTGTGACCGTCAGCCTGGCTCAGCTCGAGTTGCTCTCTCCTGCGTTACTGCCTGTCGCACTTCTGGCTCTTTCAGCTCGGTCGAAGCACCGAATTCTCATTAAAAGGGTTCAAGATAGCTAGATAAAATCGCAAACGCTTTACTACAGGATCCAGTCGACGTTACGCGGCTTGGGAGTGACAAATTAACGAACGCGCCTTGTATTGCCTGCCTTGGGGGTCTCGGGAGAAGATCCAATGCAATCCTAAGCCTCACTACCGAATTGTACTTGTAGTATAGCAAAGACTACAAGCTGAGAACTACGATGTTCAAGGCATTTGCGGAATATTATGATTACCTCTGGATTCCTCAGCCTAAGCGAGTGACCCGTTTTGATTCATGAATGCGGCTTGGGCGTTTTTACGTGATGCCAATGGAATACAAGCATGGGAGTATGAACAGACCAGAAGTTTGGCTTGCAATATTCTCCCATTCCATGACCATAAGCATGCATCAATAATATACACAGCCGAACATTAAAGAGAGGCAACATAAGGTTCAAAATGTGCTTCCACAGGCAGATAACGACATACTGGTATATTCAACGTTCAAGCAGTGAAGTGATCACATTCAACGGCATCGAGTGAAAGCTCTGCGTTTGAGAACTCTCCTCTTACAGATGAATGCCTCATACGGACCGATGGAGCATTAATGCGACAGTCTGTGTATGGCCAACCAGTCACTTGGCTACCTTGTGTCGACGCAAGTGGTCAACTATGCCGCGCATTTCGCACATGATATGGAACGTGGGAAAATATTCGCAGGCCAGACGTAGAAATCTATAGAATGCACGGGATATTGGCTTTTCTCTCGATTGTCCTCGATATTTTGCCGGACTAATGTCTGTTGTCTGTACGAGAGCCTGTCGTATGGTCGAGGGCCCACGTAAAGGAGGCTGCAGTGCACGCAGTCGGTTGCGAATCCGCTGTCCTCGAAATGAAAGGAAGTCTGGAGTGCTTGGTTGGACGGGAGCATTAGCATGTCCACAACAGTTCAACATGAAGGTATACCAAATGGCCCAACCTCTCGTTGTGTAGTGGGGGTCCATATAGAGCCAACTATATGGTAAAAATGCGATGCTGCAGCACGACTCTGCCTCCTTTGAATAGACGCTATTGAGTATCGCGTAAAGGTTGTTCTGTATTGATTCGTGTGTCGGGCGTTTCGGTGTTGGAGGCGTGGCGCTCATCGTTGACGGGAGCAAGAGCAGCGGACACGGTGCCGTGATATGAGAGCCATGTTGTCGGACCTAGGGTGAAATATGCTGCTATGATATCCGTCATGGTGCTATTAGTACTGAAGTTCTCGGGAGAAGTCTTGCCAGCCGTCACGGGCTTTTCTTTCTCCGGTCCAACATATGAGTATGTGTGCTCTGAGCCAGAACTTGAGATGAAGAGTTTCTGCGATCTGGTGGGATCAGCCTGTGACTGCGGCGAGTGGCATAACGGTGTAACTGGGATATTTCCAATCTTGATTCTGTCCCCCAGGAAGGCATTCGTGGTGAATCTTGGCGAGAAATGCCGTTCTCTGAAACGCAATGAAGTCTCTGGAGAACGTCATTCGAATCAACTACCGCGTTTAGAGGTACTGTACTATGTAATCAATGAAATTTCCTGCACCTCATTTCAGGCTTCGGGTCATTAGCACGCGGAGGGGTTTTCGACAGTCATTTCTCTGTCAGAGTCGCATGGCGATATCTGTCAGAACCGCGGAGATGCCGTGCTATTTGGTACAAACTTACTTTGAAGGCAGGTAGGAAGTAAAAGTTTGAATCCTTCCGAGGTCGTGTCATATTCATCTTGGCATGCCCACTGGGGGTATGACGCCTTAAGAGTCTGCTCACGAGAATCGCCCCAATGGCCGCATTCCAGCTTGGCGGCGTGATATTTCGCTGATCCAACCTACGATCACTAACCACGGAGTTAGCGATCATGGAGTCTACATCCGAGGACGTCAAGCTCATCCAGATTTTTTTTTCACTCCCTCCTCCCTTTCTCTAGTCAAGGCCAAAGCCGGGACCGGAAATGCAAGTGCCGGGTCCAGTTGGCACCCTTTGATCAACATCTCAGTCGCATTCGTGGGCTGGTTGAGCACGCCATAGGCAATCTCAGCCCACACCCACGCCCGACTCATTCTCTCTTACGTGGTTGCTTCGCAGCCTTCCATGCACAACCCGCGTCTCTTGGGATCACGGCCGGCTGTTCGGCATCTTCAGGTCTCAGCCCAAGAAATAATTGATGGAGGTTGCGTCCCAGAACGGCACCCACGAGGCCTCCACAAGGCTCGGTTGGGCGGTCGAGGCCCGCGCGGCGACGGCGCCAGCGAACCATGGGTGATCTCCGATGCGGGTACGATGTCGTTTCAATCTTTATCTTGCTTTTCTCTCTCTCTTTCGAGGCTGCCGTTCGATGCCTGTTTAGCGGGCCGCGACTGCAAGATGCGAATCGTGAGGCTCCCGGCCGAGATTTGGCGATAGTGACAGACCTGTTTCTGCCGCCTCTTCCCCAGCTTTCATTCACCCTAGCGTCTGGGGAAGAAGCAGAGAAACAGGAGAGCCAAGGCTTCTCAAGTGTCCGAAAAACTGAGCCTCCCGGCTTGGAAGGCCCTATCGAGAGGGCAGAAACAAGACAGCATTGCTTGGCAAACAGCGTGACGCCGCCACCATGTCTTGGCCCGACCAGCGTGGTGTTCCACCCCGTCTGCCTGAAGTTTCCAGCCGCAATATTGCAAGGGGGGGTGGGATGTTCACAATTGACTTCCCAGAGAAGAAAGCAAGCGCCCATGCCATGTCAATCCATTCCTTCTTGCCGAGATCCCAAACCCACGGTCCTGCCACGCCTTGCATGTGCAATCTAGAGACCAAAGTCACTTCTACCAGCCCCTAGGACCCTCGTTGCCAGCTCTGAAGACGACGCGGGCGACCAATGGGGGAGAGACAAGCAGCACCAACTGGCAATCATGAGTCACGCGATAGGTTTCTCTGCCGGCACAGCTCAGCTTCGGCAACTCCCATTCGTCGAGGGAATCGTCAGAAAAGACAGGGAGTTGGCGTGGAGGCTCTGGAACCGACCGACCATGGTGTGTCTGGACCCCTCCCGGCGGGAGGCGATCAAGCGATATCAAATTGGTCCTCGTCTCACAGCGCCGGCCATGGCGAGGGTGTGCTCGACATCATGAAGGGTTCATGGGGGGGAGGCCATGGCGAAAGTGACGTGGCTGTTGACACCATGCGAAGGCGTCGCAGCGGCTGATGGAAAAAGGACGAAATTCTTGCTGTTTGTCCGCTTTCTCATCAATCTGATCGTATTCTCGACCCCCATCCCATGGGAGCACAGCAGCGCAAGGGATCGAGCTGAGAGGGAGGGAGATTCGAGACCCGGAGGCAGCTCGAGCTGTCAGATTGGTAAGAGATGGACTGGACTGCCTTGACGACGCATATTGGCGTACTAGCCATCGGGGCGCCGATTCCGCACTCCCTCTCATGGTATGGTGCTGCCGCCCCAACCTCCAAACCCCCGTCCAGAATAGGGGACTAGGTTTCTGGCTCGGGGCTCACGAAAGTTCAGTGGGCAGACAGAGGCGACCCATCGGGAGGTGGGGTCAGCACTTTGGCAACCAGGGGCCATGTATTCTGTGAAGAACCGAGAACAACTTTGTTTGCCGGGGTTCGCGCTGATCGCTCGTCTCTGGCAAGTGTGTGGAGGGGGGCGACATGATGATGGAGATGGTCATCTCGGCGCCCAGGATTGATGGTGGGTGTGCCATGGTGCCAGAACGACAATCTCTGCAAAAAGAGATCCATCGTGGTGTTCACTTGCAGTCATGACGATGGGGCGGCGCTCTTCACAACAGCCGGAACCACACAGATGGATGGTATGGTGTCCATCGCGATCAGTTGCACCACCTGCACGCCACAGTGAGCCGCCCAATTCTGAAGGCATGTCTCTCCCACACTATGACTCTGTTCCTCTCGGTCTCCTGTTGTGTCTGTTTCGTTGGGTGGCGTGAGGAAAATCAGCTGGTAATAGTTGTCGTTGACCAGTAGAAGCTCAAGAAGCTCTTGGTCTACTTGCGAGAGCTGAGGGGCTTCTCCCAAAGCGGGCAGGACAGCCGCCTTGTTTAGGCCGGCCCACCTACGCTGGTCTGAGGTGTGTTGGGGGTGTGTGAGGAGCATGAGCTGTGTGATCAGAGGGGGTGTGGCCTGGGTGGCAGACAAGGATGCTGGCTTGGGAATTGGGGTAAGCTTCCATTAGGCGACAAAACCTGCAGATGAACAGGGGAGCTATGCGGCTCCTGGCTCGGTGGATGTGGTCTCATTCACGCCAAGAATGACGTGCTCGTAAAGGTCCATCTTTTTCGCTTCTCGAGTCGGCGCCGGTCTTCGATGAGTTCGACTGGCCTCAGAGTCCCCCCTTGTGCTCTCTGTCTCTGTCTCATTCTCTCGTATGGGGCAAATATTGTACAATGTACCTGTCTTTTTGTCGATTGGACGATCAATCATCGCGAGGTTGAGCACGAGGAAGGGTTGATTGTTGCGACAGGCGAAAGGGGCGGCATCTTGGCATCAGAGACATTGGCGCCCTTCCTAATGCATCATGATAGCTTCAAAACCTTGACCTCAGACAACCAGTCTGTCGACCGGTGAGACCGATGGGCAGCGATGTGTCTGTCGTGCTTTGCCGGCTGCTTCTTTCACTGAAACTAAACTGATGGAGGTCCCCGAAGACGGCTTCTCTACGTAGCACGTCCTCGACCCCTCCCCCCCTCCAATCCAGTCCACCAGTACCGCCGCCACCAGCCGAGTTAAGCTTAATTCCTAAGTTTATTTGCGCTGACTCTGGTGCTGGTTCTTGTCCGCTGGGCCTTTCCCTCATTGCCTCGTGGCAGGCCCGTTCTGACTCTCCAAGTCGCCGGATAGCACGGCACGTTATCCAAGACCTGGACAACTGGAACATTAGACCATCCCCCCGAACTAGAGGACCTCCCCGAACTACCGTTTTGCATGTGCTGGCTCGCACGGGATGCAGAAAGCGGCTGGAAGAAGGCTTTGGTTCCTCTCCGTGCCCTTCTCTCACTCAAAGAAGGATGGACGTTTGTTTGTAGCTCTTGATCAATACGGTACCTTATGCACTGGAGCCATACTTGCCCTGGAAAACCCATCACCTTTTCTCAGCTGCTCTGCACATGGCAGCTGTCGGTACCGAATCCGAAGGGTCTCTGGCAGCTGACCATGGGCCTCAGAGACACGAATGACATTTATGGCGTTCAATTCAATTCATCACAGCTGGTGGTCATTGCTGGCACATAAGCGACACCCCCCCATGACCGTTCCCCCCACGCTTCGTGTACGGTGGCTTCGAGACCCTGAAGCCGCATGCATCCCTTGATTACAGAAGCACCATGGCACCAATTGCCCACACTTCGCGCGCCGTTGCCGCTTGGTGAGCCTGTGCTCCCTCCTGGCAATTCCGCAGGGTCCATGTTGTCGTCGTGTCCTACCGATCTCCTCTAACGCCGCCGCCGCGTGAGCGCCATGGTGCGGCTTTAAGTCGTCAACCCATGGCGAGCCAGTCCAGCCTGGGCCAGCCCGCTGGGACGCGCGCCGCCGTCAGCCTTCGCCTTTACCTTCTCTCGTTGCTTCTGCTAGGTCGGACCGAGGGTGTCTTTCTGCATTATCCCAAGCGTCGGCATGCCCTGTCAAGTCCTTCCCCCCCGTACCTAGTACATGCCATCCACACCATCTCATGGCCCCCCCGATCTCGTCGAAAACACACCCCCTTGCCACCCCCCATCGAAAGATGATCCACTCGTCACCCACTGCCATGACCCTTGGCGATCCGACCAAAGCAAGCCATGCCCATTGCTGGCTGTGACAACTCCGGTGCCTCGAGACTTGGTCTCTTCACATAAAAGGAGCTACCACCGCCCGCTATCTTGGCTGCAATGCCCACGTTCCTCAGCAATCACACCATCGCTCAAGGTTCGCACACCATCGACACGTCGAATTTGCCTTTGGGCTTGCCTTAATTGCCCTGTCGCCGCCTCTGCCAAGACGAGGAGACGCAGTACTGCAGCAGCACAGTCTAAGCCACCATGGCGCCAAGCAAGCTGAGCCGTGGCCTTGCCAAGGCACTATTCATCGATCTCGACTATCGCAAAAACAATGAGCCCAAGGAGGCCGTCCACTCGGCCGCCGAGTCCTTCGAGTCGATCGAGACGTACGAGGAGCGCGAGCCCACCGTCGCCGAGTACCTGTACTACCACCGCCCGACTGCTGCGGGAGGCGTTAGGTACATCAAGAGCCTGTTTCCCTTCTGGCAGTGGATTTTCCACTACAACCTGTACGTAAAGCCTGGTTTTGTATTCATGGGCTCCAGCAATGGGGTGCAAGTTGATTTAGCGACGCTAACACACTGCAAAGGCAATGGCTTCTTGGTGATGTTGTTGCCGGTGTGACTGTCGGCTTCGTCGTCATCCCTCAGGGCATGGCTTACGCCCTTCTGGCGCAGCTCAGCGCTGAGTACGGTCTTTACACTTCGTTCGTCGGTTTCCTGCTGTACTGGGCTTTCGCCACCTCCAAGGATATCACGATCGGAACCGTTGCCGTCATGTCTCAGCTCGTCGGAAATATTGTGCTGCGCGTCCGCGATGATCACCCGCAGTACGCTCCCGAGGACATTGCCAGGTCCCTGGCTCTGATCTCGGGCGCCGTGCTTCTGTTCATCGGCCTCACCCGTCTTGGCTGGATCGTCGAGTTCATTCCATTGGTTGCCATCACCTCCTTCATGACGGGTGCCGCCTTCAGCATTGCCTGCGGACAGGTTCCGGCCCTTCTTGGCATCAGGGGTGTCAACACCCGACAGGCCACCTACCTGGTCATCATCGACACGTTGAAAGCGCTACCAAAGGCCAATATTGGCGCCGCCATGGGTCTGTCGGCGTTGTTCTTGCTGTATCTCATTCGCTGGTTCTGCAGCTTCATGTCGAACAGGCAGCCCAACTGGAAGAAGTTCTGGTTCTTCATCGGCACCCTGCGCATGGCCTTTGTCATTCTGCTGTACATTCTGATCAGCTGGCTCGTCAACCGTAACGTCGACAAGGCCGCCGATGCCAAGTTCCGCATCCTGGGCACCGTTCCTAGCGGTAAGTGATTTCCCAGACGAACCCCACGTGGTGGTGGTGGCTGTGTATCCCCCCTCCCTCCGAGTCCCGGTCAGGGGTGGTACATTGTGGGAGTGAAACTAGTAGACTGACAAGTTGGTGTGCGCAGGTTTCCAACACACCGGTACTCCCAACATTAGTACTGGCCTTATCTCGGCCCTCGCCCCTGATCTGCCCGCTACCATCATCGTTTTGATCATTGAGCACATTGCCATTTCCAAGTCGTTCGGCCGCATCAACAACTATGTCATCGACCCCTCGCAGGAGCTCGTTGCCGTTGGCTTCACCAACCTGTTCGGCCCCTTCCTCGGTGCCTACCCCGCCACCGGCTCTTTCTCCCGTACGGCCATCAAGTCCAAGGCTGGTGTCCGCACGCCCCTGGCTGGTATCTTCACCGCCGTCATCGTCCTCCTGGCTCTCTACGTCCTGACCTCCGTCTTCTTCTACATCCCCATGGCCAGTCTTGCGGGTCTGATTATCCACGCTGTCGGCGATCTTATCACCCCTCCCAATGTTGTCTACCAGTTCTGGGAAGTCTCGCCTCTCGAGGTTGTCATTTTCTTCGGCGGTGTCTTCATCACCATCTTCACCAACATTGAGAATGGCATCTACTTCACGGTTGCCGCTTCGGCCGCTCTCCTGCTCCTTCGCCTCGCCAAGGCCAAGGGCCACTTCATGGGCAAGGTCCGCATCTACCGTGTCACCAAGGATACCGCCGGCAAGGACGTGCCCTTCAATGAGAAGGGCGAGTCCCTCGGAGTGCAGACCCGCGAGGCCTACATCCCTGTGCAGAAGGACGACGGCACCAACCCTGTCATTGACATTCAGTCGCCGTACCCCGGTGTGTTCGTGTACCGCTTCGGCGAAGGTTTCAACTACACCAACTGTGCGCACTACATGGATGTTCTCAGTGCCCACATCTTCAAGGAGACCCGTCGCACCGTTCTGGACAAGTTTGAGAAGCTCGGAGTGAGTACCCTTCTGTGTGTTATGAGTGAACTCTTTACTGACTGAAACAGGATCGTCCCTGGAATGACCCCGGCCCCCGCCGCGGCGCCAAGATTGATCTCAACGACAGCAGGCCAATCCTCCGCGCCATCGTTCTCGACTTTGCCGCCGTCAACAACGTCGATGTCACCTCCATCCAGACCCTCATCGACGTCCGCAACCAGCTCGACCGCTACGCCGACCCCGAGGTCGTCGAGTGGCACTTCGCCAACGTCACCAACCGCTGGACCCGTCGCGCTCTTGCCGTCGCCGGCTTTGGCTACCCCTCCCTCAAGGACGAGCCCAACCTGGGTCGCTGGAAGCCCATCTTCAGCGTCGCCGCCACGGACGCTTCCTCCGAGACGATCGAGCAGAAGGGTCCCGTTGAGCGCACCGCCAGCCGCGACGAGGAGGACGTCATTGCGCCCACGAGGTCTGTTGGCGTGGCTCAGCTCGCCAACCGTGGTGACGGCAAGCTGGCTGCCGTGCAGGGCATGAATAGGCCCTTCTTCCACATTGATGTCGCTGCGGCTGTCGAGAGTGCCACGGCCAACGCCGAGGCCAAGGGTGATGTCTCTGGTCGTTCGTCGCCGACCGAGAAGCAGTGATTTTGGACGTCGTTTGTATAGATTGAGCGGTTCTTGAGATCATTGATACCACCTGTTCTGGAGAGACGGTAGATGTAGCTTGTAATACGCACATGATTTGTGAGCCACGTTTTTGCTGAAACCTCGTCTTATCGGTGACTGAATGCATGGGGAGTGTTCGAGAAGTAACGTAGAGTTTCGGGACACTGAATTCCCACCGAGCTCCCACTACACTGGCATACCGAAGCAGATCTGATGCGGCCCCACACTCGGCCGCATTTGCTCCGGCTAACTGCCGGCCAAGCGACCCACAACGCATCCGAACCAACGGCGGCCCCTGCTTCAATGTCAGCGCGTCATGGAAAGATGATGACGAGACATTGACGCTCTGAACCACGACATGTCGGTGTGATTGAGAAGACATGCGAGTAGCATATAAACCAGAACGCTGAACATATGCGTCTGTTCTTTTCAAATAGAGATGTCCATGTATTCCCTGCGCCTTTCCACTGTCTTGCGACGGACAAGTACCTCAAAACAGCCAGTACAGACAGCAAACCAGCAGAGTGTGACACGCTGTCTCTGCCCTTCCCAGAAGCATTATTCGTCGCCGTCACAGAGCCAGAACCGCAGTTTCCACCAGACTTTGCAGCGAAACGCATTCCCGGCAATGGAGGCAATCAAGGTATGAATGCCCAAGAGGTGCAGTTCGATCCATGCTCAAGTGACTCCAGAACACCATCGGCGAGAACTTTGGCGGCCCTGCCCAGGATCTCTCAACACACCAGTGGTCTCTCAATCAGACACCGGACCTCGCTGGCAAGGTCGCTGTTGTCACAGGAGGCAGTCAGGGCATTGGCTATGGCGTCACCCATACCCTCCTTACACACAACATTGCCAAACTCTACAGTCTATCTACGGATAAGGAGGTTATTGAAGGAGCGAAAGAGGCCATCGCCAGAGAGCTAGGCCAGGAGGTCGCAGATCGTACTCACTTTATCCAGTGCGACCTGTCCGACTGGCCTCGCGTCATGGAGGTTGCCGAGCAGATCAAAAAGGAGAATGACCGGCTTGACATACTTGTGAACAATGCCGGACGTGGCATCATGCCCCATGAGCTGACGGAGTTCGGTGTTGATCGTCAGATGGCCATCAACCACATGGGCCACGTCGTGCTAACGAGCCATCTGTTGCCTCTGATGAAGTCCACTGCGGAAAAGGGCAACACTGTCCGCATCACGGTTCAGGCAAGCAATGCTCACCAGGGTGCGCCGTCGGACATCAAGTTCGAGAGCCTCGAGGAGATCAACGAGGACAAGGGCGCCAACGCCAATTATGGGCGCAGCAAGCTGGCGAACATTCTGTACGCGCGATACTTTGCCAGAAAAATCACGGCCAACGGGCACCCGGACGTTGTCATGAACGCGACGCACCCTGGCTTCGTCAGCACGAAACAGACCAAGGTCGACATCCTTGAGGCGTAAGAAACTTCAAAACTCATGCCTTTGACGACCTCGCTAACCCTTGCAGCTTCCCCTTGGCTGGCTATGGTATGGCTGTTGGCATGGAACCTTTCAAGAAAGATCAGTTTGAAGGTGCTGTGCCGACTGTCTACGCAGCTACAGTCACGAGGGAATCAGGACAGTATCTTTGTCCACCTATTGTGCCCGAAGCTGGCAGCAAGCTGGCGCAGGATGACGAACTGGGGGATCGATTGATGGAGTTGACACGGAAGCTGGTCATGGAGAAGACGAAGCGCAAGTCGGCTGATCAGGGATGCCCGTTCGACGATCTTGTCCTGCATTGAACAAGAAGAAAGGTACAGGGCAGAATTATGACTCAGCCATGCTTGGTAATTTGGCAATAGTGGTAAACATCACGCACAGATGTAGATGGGTGCTATTTGGATAAACCTATGATTTGTTACTTCGACAGTCGTCAAAAGAAGCTTCCCCGCTTGATCCGTCCAAAACCTCCAGTGATGACTTCACGCACCGTCATGCAATAGGGTCACCTCGAGACAGCTGCAGCCAATGTTGTGCAGCGCCGCTAATTCAAGCATGATCGACAAGAGGTGATCATCGCCAACCGTGGGGAACTCTGCCGACGTCCCGAGCTTGACTTCAGCAAGTGAATATTTCCACGTATGGGAGGTTCGGTGAAGCTGGAAGGATTGTTCCAACCGCAATGCACTTATTTCTCGTCAGTTTTTCTCCCGAACAACGTCGATTGTGTGGGGTAATGCGAAACGACTATAAACCTCCAACAATTGCGCGTCATAACGGGCCTGGATGCGAATGGCAAGGCCGGATTGCTATGCCAATTCAAATGACCACAAGTCTCCCTCCGCGAAGTATTCCACGATGATGTTCAGTCCGCAACTCCTTATTGGTCTCTTGAACCTGTCCTGTCTTGCGCTCGCTTCGCCCAATGGTAGTCCTCAGTCCATCCCCAGACGACCGTCAATTGAGGCAGCTCCATACAACACCGGGAGGGCGCTTCCTGTTTCTCCGGCCCGCGATGAAGACCGATATTGCCATGTCCCTGCCAGCTGCAGTCATGGTGGAGATGACGCTCCGCGGATCCTCGCTGCCGTAAAGAAATGTAACAACGGCGGCACCGTGGTTCTCGACAAGGTCTATCGCATCGCCTCTCCCCTAGACCTGACTTTTCTGCAACACATCGACATCATTATAACTGGCGAGATTCATTTTGCGGACGAAGATGTTTACTACTGGGCCGAAAATAGCTTCAAATACAAGTTTCAGAACCAGTCCGTCTTTTGGAAGCTCGGCGGCGAAGACGTCAACATCTACGGTGATCTAGGGAATGACCAGTCGGTCATCGATGGCCACGGCCAAGCCTATTGGGAAGAGATAAGGACAAATAAGAGCGTATGTCGAGCACTGACACTGAATCGAAACTGCTGCTAATCTTGACTGATGCAGCTCTTCCGCCCCATGCTGTTTGCCTTTGATGGCATGCACGGGGCAGTGATGTCTAATCTGCGCATGAGAAATCCGCCCCATGTGAGTAAACAGCAGTTGGCTCTGTACTGTCGCTCCTGCGCAATGGAAGGTTTCCGAAGCCCATCAAAGCTGATTCATTGTATTTAGTGGTTTAATATTATCGCCAACAGCTCCGACATATTGATTAGCGACATGCACCTGAACGCAACGGTAAGCCATCTGCCGAAGTATCGGAACACTAGGGATTTGGCTGATTATACCAAGAGTCTTGATGGGGTCGTGATCGCCAACTCGGATGGTTGGGATACATATCGATCCGATCGTGTCGTGATCCAAGACTCGGTTATTTGGAACACTGACGGTACGGCGAATGCAAATGACACAATCTTGGAAATGCAACTAAAATATCGAACAGATTGCGTCTCCTTCAAGCCGAACAGCACCAATATTGTGATCCAGAATCTTGTTTGCCATGGGTCACACGGAATCAGTGTAGGCTCTCTCGGCCAGTATGCAGGGGAGGTCGACATTGTTGAGGATCTCTACATTTACAATATCTCCATGGCCAATGCGAGTGACGGTGCGCGCATCAAAGTCTGGCCAGGCATCGAGACCTCCTTTCAGACCTTGCTCAATGGTGGAGGAGGGCTCGGTCGTGTCAAGAATGTAACTTGGGACACATTCTACCACGAGAACAACGATCGAGCAATCACAATTACACAGTGTTACGGGCAGAAGAACCAGACTCTGTGCTATGAGCATCCTGTGAGCTTTTACACCCCTGCGTTGATGAAAAGCTGACTGGTGCTTTAGGCAAACCTGACGATTGAGGATATCACGATGAAGAACATGTGGGGGACAACCTCGGAATCACTCGACCCGCAAGCTGGTACATTAGTCTGCAGTTCCCCCGACGTAAGTGATGAACTCGCAATCCCGTGTTACCATGATCTGACCTTTCTGTTTTTCGCTCAGCGCTGCAGCAACATTCGTGCTGAAAATATCACCATTAATGTTCCCAGCGGGAAGCCGCCAGTCTATGCCTGTGTCAACGTTGATGAAGATCTATTGGATTTCACGTGTGTCAAACCTGCAGGTGATAGAGATACATCACAAGGGTAAACTTGGAGAAGCTGGCCATGCCAGATTCACCAATGTTTCCGAACATGACTAGATACAGGGGAATCACTCAGAGTAGCCTTTGTCTCTCTTTTCATATGGGCAGCCACTATCGTCGCAAGACCTCAAGAGCGAAGAGTCTAAACGATACGTATCGTTGGCTCCGATGCCGGTCATACTGGCCATGTGGCTAAGTATGTTTGCGCTAATCTAGCAATTGTAAATATGTGTCATGAAGAAGGTTGCGATGGTGATGGGGAAAGTTGGGCTGTACTTGGTCTGTGAGCTGACAGTAACCAAAAATATTGGGTATCCATTCATAATGACTGGGGCATTGATGGTAAAGAAGATCTGTCTTTGATCAACATTTTAGCTTCAGCGAGCAGTAAGAATCATAAAGAAAGGTCCAACCACGTAGGGCAGAGCCGTGTCCCTACCGAAGCGATATCTCCAAACGAATACCTGGGAAGGATGTCCGTTCCTTGGCCAAACGTTTCCAGAGTGAAATTTCCAGTTTCATTCCGGTACCTTTCATACGCACGAAACGGGTCTTGCGCAATGTATATCGCCATTGTCTCGAGATAACACTACTGTAAATCTCGCGCCACGCGTGCTGAGCTTAGACAGACAGAGGTTGCGGCATCCCGGGCTTTACATTGTAAGAGATGCGGCCAGCAGGGAGGAAGAACAACGCGACCAATGCGCCGCCTCGCACCTCTGGATAGTGGTGTGTGCCCGGCCCAGGGGCAGTCCAACCGGCTGCCTGCCAACCCTGCATGCCCTTCAGCTCCGCCGTCGAATCGATCTGCACAACGCAGTTGATCTCTCCATATGGGTGGGCGTGATACTGGCCAGTATAAACTTCCTGGCTGTCCATGAAGACAGTGGTGATGCTGAAGAACCTGGTCTGGGCTACCGGGTCGGTGATCTTCCCCCGGCGGTACTTTGGGCCATCAAGTTCGGTTTGGGCGACCCATCCCTCCTTAACGCCCTGTTTGATATAGGAGCAAAAGTCTTCGTAGTATGGATTTCCAGGGCCGTACTCCTTATTGAGCCTGGCTTCAAGGTCCTTTCCGGGGGTCCTAATTTCGGAAATGGTTCACCATTAACGTTATCGAAGGCCATTTGGATGAGACACAGCTTACAAGTCTTGGACTTCGTTCAAGAACTCGCTCGCACGCTGTACGAACTTTTGCGCAGTTGGCCACTGTGAAAGGTCGAGAACAGCTGCCTTGTCGACTTGAGACATTCTTTTTCAAAGAGCAGCGAGAGAATGGAAAGGTTACGTAGTAGGAGTCAGTCAAGTTTGTTTGAGACGTGAGTATAAATAGCGCACAGTCGTTTGTTGTCATGAGCAGGCTCTCTTAAATAAGGGATGAGCCTTTCTCTGGATACCATTAGGGTGGCAATGGGTGAGCTCGGAATGTTATCATGGCGGGGGAGTTCCCCTCCAAAATTCGACGCTCTCACCGATCCAACCCGACAGGGTGGCACCCCAACCCCTCGGCATAATGTTTCGGCATCTTTGCGCTCTCCACTGGTGTCCTGGCCTGCGACGTACTCCTACGTCGTATCCGACACGGCGATGGACTAGCTTTATTATAAGACTGCATAGGAGAAAATTAATGTAGGTCAATGCCACTTAGTAAGGCTTGGAGTATTGGGAATATGTTTTGGGAAAAGGCAATTACTTGCGGCTGCATTGTGTATGTTGCGTGGTTTTCAGCTACGGAGGTTGGGATTGTCGTCATCTCGAAAGGATGAGGTGGGACTTCTGTTCCACACGTGATATGAGGCCCCAGCTACTTCAGACCCGACCGCGATTCATTCGACTGACAGTTGAGGAAGCAAGCCATGAATGGATCATACCAAGGTAGAAGCCAGCCAAGACATCCCTGGTTTCCTGGTTTGAGGGGAGAAGACGCCACAGTTGATGTGACACAGCCACAGTATCCATGCACAGCCATTCGTACCAGCTCAAAACTTCTGGCACGTTCTGCAAATCTTCTTCTTCACGACAGAAAAGCCATCAACACCAACACCATGCTCAAGTCATTCGCAGCAGTTCATTTCCGCCACTTCACGCCCACACCCATAATCTCTCGCACTCTGTTTCGAAATATGAGCGACAGCAAGCCAACCGCACCCCTGGCTTTGCCATCCACCGAATCCACCTCGGATGGGTCCACCAACCTCACTCTCGGCGGCACAGTCAGTATGGACGCCCTGGGACCCGTCGTCGTCAACGTCAATGGCACCTTGTCCCGCATCAACAACTGGGCCGAGATGAATGAAATCGAGAGAGAGAACACATTACGCGTCCTCGGCAAACGTAATCGTCAACGGCGCGAAGCCCTCCTGGCGGCTCAGTCTGCTGAAGGGGAGGTCGCCAAGGACTCTGGGAAGGAATGAGAGTCCCCTGTTCACTAGTTTCATGTTCACGACCAGCGACACTTTATTCGATGAATCGACTTTGTAAAATTATCCAAAGACTTCCAATATTCCAACCAATTCTCAAGTAATGAGTACATCGGCCCTGAGTAGGAGTGAAATGGTTGCGTTCTCAAGCCCACAATTTGATTTCAGGACAAGTGAATTCAGCGTTGGACCTCCTCTCTTCGGAAAGATGAAGAGATCGCGCCCAAGACTTCTATAATTCCGAGCAGAATGGCCCTCGTCGCGAACTGTGCGACATAGGACCATATCGACAGCTTGTCTAGACACTCACAGCCGGCTGCAAGGCCACATGCGCGTTCCTGGTCAGCAGCTGCGCATACTCATCAAACCAGGCGCCCGCATTGGGCGCGCCCTCGATGCCGCAGGCGCCGTCACTCTCACCGCCGGGCTTGATCCAGACAATGCTGTCCACGTGCGGGTTCTCCGTCTGCGTCGTCGCGGGCTGCCCGAATCCAGCCTCGACGTTGCACCACTCCCCCCACTCGGCGCGGGCGCCCTGGACGGCTACACGGCCCTGGTCGATGATAAAGCGGGTGGGAAGTCCTTCGGCCTCGAGGTGCGGGACCAGGGAGAGGGCATAGTGGCTCTCGTCGAAGGAGTTGCTGAACTCGGTGTAGGGCTCGGGAGTCGTCGTTGAAAAGGGGTTGTAGTTGGAGACATTGGTCGAGTAGCCGCGGATCTTCGCGTTGGGGCCAGCCTTTGCGACAATGGTGGCAAACTGCTTGGCAGCTGCATCACAGCGTCAGACCTCCTCCGTCATGAGGGTGCAGATGGCGACTTACTCGGTGCCAGGTTGTCATCCCACCCCAGCCATCCGCCGTGGGAGGCGTCAATGTACAGGTGGATATTATCAGCCTGCAACGCGGCGATGGCGTAGGCGATGGCGTCCCTCTGCGGCTCGGCGGCATTGGCGCAGAACTCGATGGCCTGGTTGGTCACCATGTTGCCGACCGCATCGGGCTCCAGAACAATGGCAAAGGTAAGGTCAGAAGCAGCCTGAACTCTCGCAGCAAACTGGTCGACGTATTCTGTCCTGTATCTCGCCAGTCCGTTCTCGGCCAGGCTGAGCTCCCCGGCACTCTCTCCAGCGCTGCAGTCTCTGTCGGGAAGGTTGTACAGCACCAGGCCCACGATCTTTTCCTCGCCCGTCTCTTGCTGGACGGCACGCGCAGATTCGATGGCGCCGTCAATGTCGCCAAGGCTCGCAATGTTGGAGATCCAAACAAAGGTTCCGACAGACTCTTGGACGTACTGGACCTTGCCGGCATTGACATCATCGCCGGCTGCGAGGAAGGCCTCGCGGGTTTCCTCGAGTTTGGCCGTGTAATTTTGGTTGACGAACAGCTGGCGGCCCTCAAATGGGTTGGCATCGGCGTCGTTCTGGCGAGACCAGATGGATGGACGAGCGGATACTGCGCCAGCCGCCGCCAGGGCGCTCAGAATCGAAGAGGTGCGCATTTCGGAATTGGGTAGGTGAGGAGGCTGGAAGACAAGATGAAGTAGTATTATGTTCTGTCAGGAAACCGGAAACAATTCCACGTCCACATGTATCGTTCTTATATGCTGAATGACCGACTGGCAAGGCGGCCTGGCACGTACTGACTTTGTCAAGTGTTTGACACGACCTTCATGAGTGAGTGGTAGCTTCCGGGGCTACATCGTCACCAAATAAAGCTGCACCAGCTACGGAACGTATCTGTTCTTTTCGGTAGATTGCCATAGTGTGATGCTCGGGTGATCATCGCGACCCGGCGCAGATCTCGCGGAGAAGCCTGGCCCGACCGCAACATGGGGAAGCCAAGGCAGCAGAATGCCATGATCAAGTCGGAGATAGATGAGATTGCCGAGACGCCAGGAACATTCAACCGTGGCTCACATGCGACACGCTTCACGAGTCTGACGAAGGCTCGACTCGTCGTTGGCTGGACCAGGTCATCGACTGCCGATCCTCCACTTCAGTACCGGAGGCCACCACCGCAGTGGGGTTGTGATGGAGCATCGCGACCGGAAGATGGTCACGGATGGGATCCCGCCTACCCATCAGTTCGCTGGCGTCATACTTTTGTAGGACCTTTGAAATGATGAATAGTAAGCAGCTAAAGCTTCGTTGCGTAATCTGTGGGCTTCTGAACCGGCGGAAGCTGCCGGGTAATATTAGATTCGTTGTTGGACTATTGAGCTGTATGTCATTAAGCGATGCCATATATGGATCCCCTGAAAACATGCCGTGATTTGTCCCCAATCTTCTACAAGAATCACTCGATCGCATGTTTGATCTCATGACCCACCGTTTCCTCAGCCCGTAAGAGTGCATGCCCGGAGAGGGTATGCTCGAGTTCAACATGGCCAGACAATGCTTGCTCAACGGATACTCATGATTATGTATTAGCATTATTCCAACCCCCTCATCCACTTGTTTTGTCCTGCCTCAAATGAGGTCACATCTGCGGCCTCCATGTACTTCCGAGGTCAAGCTCAATCGGATACTGCGGCCACAAAGCCATGCCCTCGGCACGCCACGTATCGGGCTCAAGACGAACATTGAGCTGATTATCAGACTCGGTCGCATTGAGGAGCATATTCTTCGGCGACGCCAAGTCATAAGTAGGCCACTTCGGGATAAAGTCCACTATTCCATTGTCAGACTCGTCCACGGCTAGCATCAAAGGGGGACCACAAACCGTTAAACGTGTTGGGATCGCCAGTAGCAATGTACGAGACGAGTTTATCCACAATGCCCCTCGAAAGCTCGAGGTGAGAGCTGATGTTCACGACCTGCGGGTTCATGCCGTACATGTTATACCCAGGCGGCAGGTTGAAGAAGTACGTGTACTCGGTGGAATGCGCCGTGAACCCGGGCGTCAGGATGCTGCTGATCGGGATGGAAGTCGGGTTCGTGTCGAACCTGACACTGTCAGTTTTACTGTCAGCCGTATTGCACACAAGCACGTACCTGTAGGTGAAGACGTCGACGCCCTGCTTGGCAAGACTCTCCGCGAAGAACCTCCGCCCGTTGATGATCTGGAAGTCGCCGAAGATGGCGGCCGTGCGCCTGTACTGCGCTCCACAGAGCTGGCCTGCCGCCTTCATGGCGTCGCAGAAGACGTCCTCGCCACTGGCGGCTTTCATGGGCAACGAGTACGGCGGCGACGGCGCGTCCACGGGGTACGCATCGAGGATCTTCTGCAGAACCTCCGGTCGGGCAGCTGGGAAGAAGAGAGCGCCGAGAATGAAGAGGAGCGTTGCGTCATCCTCGATCGGTCCAAAGGACTGCTGGAGCAGCTGAGCCACGAGGAGGCCTTCGTCGCTGTTGGTGCCGCTGATGAAGTTAATGTCGCGGGGGAAACGACCGGCGGCGAGCAGGCTCGGGGACTCGGTGATGAAATCCCCATCGACGGAGGGCCACCACAAGGGCGCAAGGCCTGCCGCCGCGGAGGCCTGCTGGCCGACGTCGTAGAGGGCCTTGTAGTCTACCTCTCGTAGGCAGTCGAGTCTGTCCGCGGCATTGGCACAACTGGTCAGGTTGAGAACAGTGTCGTAGGCCTGCGACACGCGCACCTCGTCGGGAGTCAGGCTATTGGTGCCCAGGCCGCCGGTTCCGCTCACGGCGATGGCGCCACGGAACAGACCGGAAGCACCGTTTCCTCCGTAGGCAAGGAGCTGGTGGGTGATGGACATTGCGCCAGCCGACTGTCCCCAGAGCGTCACCTTGTCAGGATCGCCACCGAACGCGGCAATGTTCTCCCGAATCCAGCGCAGAGCAAGATGCTGGTCCTTGAGACCGAGGTTCGTGATGCCAGCAGCCGTGGCATCAGGACCTCCAGGAAAACCGAGGAAGCCCAGACGATAGTTAAGCGTGATTGTGATGATCGGAAGCTCGTTTTCCATGCTCGCTTTCACGACATAGGATGTGTTTGTGTTGCCGTCAGGCCCGAAACCAGCTGAAAAGCTACCTCCATGGATCCAGACCGCAACGGGCAGCTTGTCACCAGGTGCCGTACGGGCTGGACGGAGAATATTGAGGTTGAGGCAGTCATCGCTGTACGTGAACCCTGCGTCGGCGAAAGCAGTCGGGTTGGGTGTGGTCGGGCAGAGTGCGCCGTAAGACGCCGCAGATTTCACGCCCTCCCAAGAATCAGTCAAGGACTGAGGGTTACGAAGACGAGAAGCCTTTGCATAGCGTACACCCCAAAAAGCCTCCTGATCGAACTCGCGGATGCGGACACCAGTGTATGTACCATTGAGCGTTGTGGCTTTGGGTGTCGAAAGACAGGCGGCCAATGCCAGGTCCAATACCGCGCAAATGGCGAAAAGTGACGGGAGGACTCGAACCATTCTCGCGGGTTAGGAAAGTGATTATGTTTCAAACTGAGTACCTCAACCATGGTGGTATAACGGGCGCCATGCGCACGCCTTTAATAACATCTGCCAGCTCAGGAGAAACGAGAACAACCGAGCCCGACGCATCTAGATCGAGCTCCACGTGGGGATGGTGGCAGCATCGGACCGCAACCCCAGCCAGCGGAATTCCAGCCTCACGGTCGGGCTAATGCAGCTTCGCTCATCCACGGATCTGGATCCTACGTGTTGTCTTCATCACGCACCGACGTCGGTCCGCCGGGACATGGTCCTCGCGTGGGGCGCGATAGTCGAGCTACCAGGCGCGGGCCACGAGGTGCTGCCATCTGCGGAACTTTTGTGAGTGACTAGGGAACCCTTGCTCAAGCTTGGGAATCCTTTGGAGGGGGCAGTATTCAAGCGAGGGGCCTCGTGGCGGTCGCCTGAGTTGCCTGGGTGTCGCGACAGGGTTGTCAGCAGCTTGCCGCAGATGCCTCATGCTCGATTGAGATGTTGCGCCCGTGAGGCGCGGCTAGTGCTCCGAACCACTAGGCATGGCGAGCCGCTGCTGCCGTGATGTCTCATGCGGCTCCGAGTGCGATCCGGCCGATTGCGACGGACTTGGTGGAGGGCAATGAAGCCGCGGATTCACGGTGACGCGAACCAAGTGGAGAGGAAAGTTGAGGGCTCGCCCACTGTTCATGAGGAGCTGAGGCAAGTTGCTCATTATCACGGCTGATTATGAAGGATCGCCAGGCACTTCCCAATCCTCTGGGCATGGCGGCCGCCCTGCAGCAGAAGGATCATGCACGTTACTCAAAGCAGAGGCGGAACAGGACGATCCGTCACCGAGGGATCAGAATCCAAAGTCAAGTTATCAAGCTTGATCTCTCGTTTGTAGGGACCGTGCGATCAAAGTCAGCCGCTTTTCATTCCATGTTACCTAGGGGGGTTCTGAAGACACCAGATGCGCGCGCCCAGGCTACTGACCGCGGCGACCACCTCTCCCGAAAACAAAGTCGTGATGCTCTCCCTGCCCGAACACGAAACCCGCCCGTTGACTGCACGGCACAGGAGCTGAAGCCATGGGCTGGTTCCTGGTCGATCTGGCCGATTTGCGGGCGGGCTCCGTTGCATCGCCGGCAAACATGCGCTTGTTGTTTCCTTTTCGCGGCGCATCAATTTTCGGTCTCGGAGCCGCTGTCGCCTGCACAACGTCCCATTCGCAAGAGAGGACCTTGAATTGGACTTGGAGGGGTCGACTGTGCCGGTGTCGAGTGGTGGTGCTCTCGACAGCGTATCGGCGAAAGCTCTTTTGGATCCAGTCGAGAGTCTCGAACACGCGCGACTGGACGAGCCAGTCATCCTGGTCGCGAGCAATCTCAAAATACGTTCGACCGCTACTTGTGAACTTCGGGCTTTCCTGATATGCCTTTCGAGTAGGTATGCTTTGCACCGGCGGAACCACTTGGCCATCTGGAGAAATTCCGGTGACAGGCTTCCGATCGAGGTTGCTCAACTGCCCCGCGGCTTCATTGGCTTCCTTTCGCAATATCAAATAGTCGATGAGATAGAATGTCTCCAGGTTGGGACAGTGCCGGGCAAGGAACTGGTAGGCGTGGATAGGGTGGTTCTTGGTCGTCTCACGCATGTGCGAACCGCCACAAGCTTCACACAGCAAGACCACCGTCTCCCACTTGTGGCAGTACCTGACGGCCAGATGGCGAATTTTGTCGAGACCTGGACACTGAAAGTCGTGTGATATGCGGCACCCACTGTAGAAGAGATCCGATGGGAGGTAGTCGAGGCAAACGATGTCCTGGGCGTGAGAGGTCAGGGCGATGGGCTGCCCGTTGACCTCGAGTGTACGCGGGTCCCGAAGAAGACGCTGGACCACACGCTTGGCCTCGCTGCAGGTGTTGGAAAGGGTGTCGAGGACCTTTGCGAGGGCGACATAATGTGAGTTGTCGGCTTTAGGATTCGGAAATATGGGAGCGAGGTGTGCTCTGACAAGGAGGAAACGACGGGACCCTTGGATGACTCGGGCGAGGACGTGGCCCTGGTCGTCGTTGGGCACAATCTTGAGAAAGTGCATGCCAGGCTCGAATATGGCAGCCTCCCATATCTGGAGGCGAATCTCCACTGGAAATACAGAGAATGGTGTAAAGTACTGTGCCCCTGATGGGTTGTGGTACGCCTGCCGTGCCACTCACGCAGCAGAACGGATTCACTCACCCTCAGTCAGTCATCCGCCTTCTGCGTTCAATAGCCTGGCAATAATGAGTGTTATTCAGTACCATCACCCTGATTCCTTCGGATGAGTCTCGCCGATCAAGCGCGCTTTCGATCCACCCTATAGCTCCTGGCAATGAGGCTGGTCAGTCTCTTGGACAGCTGCTATGGTGTCTGCTGCACCCAGCCCATATTGAAGGAGGTCATCGATCGAACCTCTGCGCTGACGGTTATCTTTGCAGATATATTCTTCTGCTTCTCAGGATCCGTTGAGGGACCTGGTAGCTTGCGACACTTCACTGTTGCTGCCCGGGCGTGGTGTCCGTCAATATCAACAACCACAAGACTAGATGCCGGAGAACCAGAAACGGCTTCAGGTCCAGCAGCGTCGATAACGAACGAAACACTGCGTGACGAATGGCCCATGCTGGCGGCCTATTCGGATCCAGTGCAATGATCCCTGGGCCATGTCACCACCTTGCTCGCCCGTTTGAATACCTCCACGGCCCAAGCCCTTGGTCAGAAAAGCGAGCAAACCGATGGGCGTGAAGTCGCTGCGCCTCAGCCTCAACGAACGACGTACCCCTATGCATCCTCGACCCTTCTCGAAGACACTGCAGAATGTTCGGGCATTTGCGGCACCAAAGATCCTAGCGTACCGAGACGGCCGACAGGCCTGCACAGGGTCTCAGGGTCCAAGAACCGGTGCATTGACAGCATCGTGTCTTCTGGTCCCGACAGTGTCCAGACCCTTTATCGTGGAAACTGCCGAGGACATTCGACTTCAAATGCCCGGTGAAGCCGAACATTCCGGCCGCCGACCAAGGGGGCGCGTTGCGAGCATTTTAGTCGAAAAAAAAAGAAGCCCACCCACGCGAATGCGCCGCGGCCCTCCGCCCCTCCCCCTTTTTATACATTCGAATGCGACAGTTCGGCGCCGACCTGCTGGACAGGGGTAACCCGAACGCGCGCTGCCAGCCCAGCGGTGCAGCCTTTTTGCGATCCAGAGTCGCACCCGTTTCTTGTCTCATAAGCTTCGGTCGTGGCCCAATAAAGCTCGTACTGTATTGGCAAGGTTATCGCTCCCTGACCGGGGCTGCGTGGGGAAGAACCCGAAGGCGTCTCAAGGGTCCTGCTCGCTTGACTCGCGAATCGAGTTGTGGTCCAGTGATAGTTGCCCGTCACAATCACGAAAGCGACAAGATGCGCAAAGGGCATGCGAGCCAGAGGTTTAGTTATCTGAGTAGAAATCGTGCAGACTAAAATTACGCGAACCCGAGATGCGAAACGCGTCTAGGGTGTATTAGGCGGGAGGGTCGCCGGCAGCGTCGGACGCGGAGGCTTTTCTTGTGGGCGCGCGCCCCGGTACACGGGATTTGGATGCCCCCCCTCGGCCCCCCGGATTTCACCCCTTTTTAAGTGTAGCAAGCGGACACTGTCACAAGGATCTGTACTTTTGTTCTCGAATGTCATGAATTAAATAGGATGAGGTATGATTGTGGCAGATGCTATGGTATGCACGTCCCTAGATGGATTAAGTACTTGGGAAAAGTCGTTATACGTACGCCGCG